GCACAATGAGATGTATTCTTTGACCTCAATCCTGGAGCTGACACTTTATGTTACCCCAAATCGTATGGGCTGGCATCAATGTTCTTGTCTGTATTTCCGCAAATTTGGTGGGCGGCTTCGAGATTAGCGTCCGAAAGCCTACTAGAAAGTTTATGTCTCATCACAAATGGCCGCTTCGACCTGGGGTACTTCTCTTAAGAAGCTCTGTTGCGTGTTTTTAGGCAAAACGTTCGACCACAGGCAAAAATTGGAACCAGATTTAAGGACTGCGCTTTCCGTTGCGTTACGTACATATCTACCATTTCCTATAGTCTACCTAAAGTAGAACAATGAGGTGAAGTATATCAGATTGCCATGATGATCCTTTTTTCACAAAAAGGCAATGTTATAGTACAGCATCCCTCGGACTACTTTCTGTTCTCTTCTAAAGTTTATGACTGTGTCAAAACAAGCTTAATAGTTGAGAATCTTTAACTCGTGTTTATTTACAAGACTATTTATCGTGTAACGGATTTTTTTTACTTACCTTCCCTTCTATCTTAATTGTATGATCTTAATCCACGAACTGAATTCGTCAGTATTGCCTCGTTTTTTTACAGGTATTCTTCGCGTCATAAATCACCATGCCCACTGATGTACGACTACCACGGTACGGAATACCTTGGTGCTGCTCATGGACTTGCTGGGATTCTTCAGACGGCATTAGGGTACGTGATGCATCGATTCCAATGGTCCACGCATCTCTTCGAATATCTCAAATATTAAAATATCTCTGAAAGAGAGTGCAAATTGTTCCTTAAAAGCAAAAGAATTTAAGTCCTCTATTCATTCGTCGTGGTTTCAGTTTTCATGACCTTCTCTCCGAATCTGATGAGCGTGCTGTTCGAGAATCCGCTGACTGGTTAATGTCGACCCAAGATGATGAGGGAAATTTTGCAAGCAGCGTCAAATGGATTGGAAGGTGACTGCTTTTTTGGTGCATCTCGTGCTGTAAGCGTCATAGTAGCGAGGGTTAAACTTGTGGAACATGTCATTATTAAGATGTCTTCTTCCCTCTTAAACCTCGCCCAATCCGCGCTTTCAATTGTCGTTTCGTTATCATTTCGTTTTCTCTTCATTTTGTTCCATCGAAAATTCTATCGAAATAGAGTTAGGTTTCCCGTTGGATCCTTTCCTCATTCAGATTGCTTTCTCACTCACTAAAGAAGTAGGACATGAAAATGCTGTGTTGAACGGTTTTTCGTAGTGTAATTCTCTCATCTGTCGGACCACGTTCTCCTGTCTTTCCACTGAGTAGGTTGGTTGACTTTTGAACTTATGGTGGAATTCTCCTTCAATGTGCGGAACAAGATGGCGCGAAGAAGGCGTTTCTCATCAGTGGACCTACTTCGTTGACCGGTCGACCTCTTCGTAAAATCCACCTTTAAGCAGGGTATTTTTTTGACTATCCACACGCATGGTTAACGCGTGT